CTCTTCTAAACTCATTCTCCATCGCGTCTTCATCACAGCCACACTATTAAAGCAGATTCAGGAGGGTTTTTTCTGAGAAGGGGAGAAAACTAATGAAAGGTCACATCCATCCTTTTTCAAACATCTCTGCAAAACACCCACTATCCACCCATACAAATTAAACTCGGGATTACCCAGGGTTAGCTAACAAATTGTGTGTTCACACACTAGCAATCTTGACCTCCAGATTTTAATTCATTTTACTGAAGTACTTTTTTTCTTTCATGAAAGCATTCCAGATTTGGCACTCTTTGCAACACGGATTACTCAAAGAACGTCACCACGAATGCACAAGTTTTATTTACTGCAATCTCTTCCTACAAACAACAGAGGTATAAAGCTGACTACCAGAAGAGTAATAGAGAATATTAACAAGTTCCTTTCTACAGCTTCAGCCGATCAAGTTAACAGATAATTTACAAAAATAGAGATGAAAAGTCCAGAAGTAAAGTTACAAAGTAAAGCAGACAGATTTCAGTGTTTTTTTTAAACTCATCCCAAAATAACAGTACCTGCTACCCTTTTACTACCTTGAAGTAAAGGTAGTACCTTACTCCTAGAAGATCCTGTTTATAAAATGAAGTCCTTGTCTTTATGTTTTTAATTTATGTTTACTATCTATTCCAATACCTTTTTTTCTTTCAGTCCTATGAAGAAAAAAATAGATTGCATGAAAGGATAGGTGTTGCCGGGCAGAAAAGAAGGCAGCACCTCTGCTGAAGCCCATGATCAGCTGTCACTCAGTGCGCAACAGAGCACGGAGTCAGGTACTGGTCCTGTAGCCACTCTGTGCAGGCACGCTGGGATCATTTCATTGCACGACTACGTAAAATTGTTATATGAATCATCAGGAAAATGACCACCTCGCTTGGCTATTATCCCACTCTTCCACAAAAAGCTTTTCATTATTCATAATTATCTTCGAATGGCACATCCATTCGCCATACACGGAGTCATCCTTTTGAGCAGCCTTTCCTTCCGACCCCGCTGCCTGTGTTATTTCAGGCTTGCCCTGGCAGCTGAATTGCTGGACCAGGAAAAGCAGCCTTTGAACTTGGCCTTAGAAAACAGGCATGCAAAAGGGCTGAACCATCCTGGTTTTGAAACAAGGTTTTCAAGTGGATAGGTATCATTAAGGAGGACAGCATGCAGGGCTCAGATGTCTCTCCTCTCTGCCTCTCCAGCTGGTGACCTTTAGGAAGGACAGATCAATACTAAGCAGATACTGTATCTACTATTTCTTACTGTGTACCAAAGGTCAAGCAATTTGCATGTATGTATCAGTTCCAACATTCCTGTTTTCAGACACAGAACTGATTAAACCTGGGAATAAAGAATTCTTATCTTGCATATAGCACTGTTTCAGAACATGCGATAATTAAAAAAAAAAGAGACTTGGAATTTATTTCAGAGGCAAGTTATGACGCTCACAGAAGGATTGCAACGCTTTACTTCACTATCGTGAAATGAGCTCTAAAAATAAGCTGCAGATGAAATTATAAACAGCTTTTATAAGACTGCTTCCTTTGCAACATTCTGAACCACCTGTGTGTTTTACCACAGAAGCAATTTTTTTGAAAAATACTAAGCCCTTTACATTCATTTCATGCATGCCTGTTGCACCTTTTTCATCCGTATGTGCAGGCCACAGAGATTTTTCTCCTCTTACAGTTTCCTTAGATGGCATATTTTGAGAGAGGCCTTTATAGAAAGACATGTTTTGGTTCTATATTTAAACTTGATCCCATTTAGCTCAATGCCAAATCCTTTTAGCATCAGTGAGAAAATTCTGTAGTACACATATTGCCATAGCCTAGGAGATGCCTGGTGTTGAAACTTTGCTGAAGTTTCTTGACTCTCTTCTTTTTTTTTTTTTAACACTTGAATTCCCAAAGTATGCTCAAGTTTAACATTTCATAGCAACTGAGGTTCAAGGATGAACATCAAAACTCTACTAAATTCAACAACATTTTGTTCAAATGGAAAAGGTACCTTGCAGTATATTTTAAACACACCACAAATTTAACACTAAAACATCAGTCTGGCTCCGGTTGGAAGACACCACTGCAAATGTAAGACCTAGAAGAACAATGTTTTTAAAATATTCAGAAAGCTTGTATTTTAAAATGACTGCATATGGGAAAAAGGTTATTTAATACCCACTCTAATGAATTTCTGAGTTGTATTATCTCTGCAGCATCGTAAGGAGATATTGCCACTCACATCCCTTAGCTGTATGGAACGGAGCAATGGCACATCCAAATATCCATAAGCAAAGTCATAAAAAGGGTCTATAATCTTTTCATGCGGACATTTAATACATTTAGAGAAGGTTTATTACAGTTCTTGCTTCCTCTTCTTGGCATCAATCTTATTTAATACAAAGATACATACAATGTTAAAAATCACAGTTCACTTCAAATAAAGACAAGCAGTGTTTTACGAATAAAAGTTTTCTTTTTGTTCTTACTGTACTTGAGTTGGTCAAGAGGTAAACCATTTTCATTATTTAAATTTTGTAAATCATAGAAAACATCCATTGACTCTAATAGTTAATCATTTATGCTATTTTCATGCAAACCTACGTTCTTAGAGTGGTTGCTGCCTGTCAAACAAATACCAAGGCAAAACCAAGTAACAGTTCTGCGTTGTGGAACAGTGTACATGGCCAGATTAGAAAAGTCTATTCTGATGTTGCTATCAGCAATATGGACAAATAACAAATATTATTTGTTATTTGAGGGTTTATTATGTGGCTTGGACTAGATGATCTTTAAAGGTCCCTTCCAACCCAAACCATTGATTCTATTATTCTGTTTTTAATTAATTGCACTGTGTCATCTGATCAGAAAATCAAATGAAAAGAATAATAATAATAAAATGGCATAGTGCCATGGGGTCAATCCCTGAAAAGAAGTTATACGCCTGGCTGCAGCCATGCTCCGCAGGCAGAATTATAAGCAAGCAAATCTTTTAAAGATTTCTGAAATTACCCCCTGAACTATTGTTTCACCAAAGAAATCTAGTCTATGTGCTATGATACAGGACAGAGCTGCCTGTCTCCCTGTCTTGTCATATTGCTTATTCTGATTAGCTGCAACAGCATGAAAGTATAGATTTTTAATATACTTTTATTGCCTTTTAGATAGCTGACTTACTGACAGAAGTTTTGGGGCATTTTATTCCCCAATTTTTACAACTATGTTTTTTTGATTATTATGCTTTTAACATTTTTATTGGGGAATAATGGCAGAATTTCTATAGGACTAGCTGAAAAATCCTATTATTGAATTTGCTCAATTCTGCATCCAAATGAACTGAAAATGTTCATTTGCATGCAGAGGGCTTTTTATTTATTTATTTATTTTCAGGAGAAAAAAATAAACAATGCAAACACTGCTATGTTTCCTGGAATTTCCCATGCTGCTCTTCTAAAAGTCTCATTTGTGTGTTTGTTTTGTTTTAGACAGGATCCAAAATAAAACAAACTGAAGATGTCATCTCAAAAAAAATCTGTATCTGTTACTCAGTGGAAGTCTATTTCCTTGCTCACTAACAGTGAAGAACATAGAGTACTACAGAAATTATTCCAGAAAAGAACACTTTCTACTGTACCTTCATAAGAAGAATGATTAAATGGCAACACTGAAATATCACTTGCAAGGAATTAAGACCAGAATTCTGACGCTGCATGTGAGCACACAGGCATGCTCAGCAGACTGCAGGGTTGGAGGTATTGCTGTACGTGGTTCTAAGCATCTGCTTGTGAAAACAGCCATTCCTCATAGATTCGTTCATTTCACTTAGCCATACGTTAACAGGTTGTCATCCTGCCCAGCATAAGACAGGGCTGTGGAAAAGGCAAAAATAAATACTTTCTCCAGAATGTTCAGGGGGGAAAAAAAAAAAGAAGAGAGAAAAAAAAACACAACAAGAAAAAAAGAAACAGGTTATACCCAGCACCATCTTGCAGCTAGAAATCTTGTTTTTTCACACCCTTATAAAAGTGCAGTCAGAGAAAAGGCAGCAAAAAGATGTAAAGTAGATTTTCTTCATTATAACTCTGAACACTACACTGCTACAGTTCCGCTACTATTGATCTAAATTCTGTAATGTGTTTTGGCGAAAGGTTTGCTTTTAAAATGATAATAAAGGGGAATCTATGACATTTCCCACCCTGGGTAAAGAATGCCATTAAAAGCAGGCCAATCAACTGTGGTCAAAGCTTGCATATTCTTCAGCAACGACATATTTTATAAAATATCAACAGGTACCTAAAAAAAAAAAAACACACTAAAACCAATAACTAAGTTCCTACGCTTGGTGTAAACTAATGGGAAAAAGTGCCCTTTCAGCTCACTGAACTCTTGGGAGAAACCCTCATTTAGCGACTCAGTTTCCTTTCTTGCCCTTACCTGGAAGCCCTGATGCTATGTTTACTTTTTATTTTTCTTTTTGCTCTTAAAAATTACACTAAACCAACTTTAAAAGGTATTTTATTACTCCAACAGTAGTATCTGCTGTAAAACAATGTACACATTCCCATAAGGTTTCTATAAATTCCTGCAAGCCATTATACCTTATTTAATGTCATCTGATTTTTTACTGTGTTCTTGCACTCAGTTCTACCTTACTAACTTACCATACCATCATAATAACACTTTTGAAATTCAAAATTCTAAATATTTATTAAAACCATAGACTTATGTTACAGCACTAAGTTAACTACAGGAATTTAAGAATTGGGCCATCTGGGAGAAAAAGAACTCACTTCTCTCTGATTCTGTGCAATATTTGACTGCCCAAGTACCTGCTGCTTTAAAAGCAGAGTGTTTTCTTTAGATGTGACAGACAACCCTCCGAAAACGGCATCGCATCTAAGTCATCAAAACAGCACAGGCCTAATCAAAATGAAAAATACGAAGTGCATCATACAACATCTGAAAGAAAGATTATTCTACCTGTATCGGACATGCTCGATTGTGTCGTATGTCAGCTTGCTGCTGATATTCTGACTATGAGGGTTGCCTAGGAGACAACAGAGATATAGAAGTTAATCATTAATCACAGTTTTGGTATTAATTTTTTGCTTTTATCAAAGTATTACACCAAGCCAGCCTGAAAAGATGACAAAGAAAGATTTAATGTATACTTCACAGCAATGCCCCGAAGCTCCTCAGAATAGTTAGTCAAGAGGAAGGACATATAACAGAAGCAAGCGATTATGACAGACCTTGAAACTTCAGCTGTATCTGTTACTGGTACTTAGGCAGTTCCCTCTAAAAATACAACTGCATATACACAAATGTTCCGCCACAGAAAGACAGATAGAATGCTCATTAATAAATGTATCCATGCACTAATTAAGAAGCGATTTAGAAGACAGCAAATGGAGACAACAGACATTCATGACACCAGGATTATCCCTGTTTGGGTTTTTTTTTGGTGCCTGAAATTCAAGTAGCTCATGAAAACATAAATTTCACTGCAAAATTAGTAGCCATCTTAGCACAGCTCAGCACAGGCATGCATTAACAATTAAGACAGTACCTAAGAAGTGCCTGAATTTATCTCCATGAGCAAAAGAGATTACAGCAATATCCACAGATGCATAACACTTTCCTACTTTCCTACTAGTAAATGCTTAAAGAACATGTCTAAAAGAGAACAAGAAAAAAAAACCACACAACTATATTAATACAATTTTGCAGTAAGCTACAATATTATCTACTCTCTTTCTAATTTCAAAATCATCCTCTTGAAAGTTATTGAGTGACGCTGTTAAAAAGAATAACAAATTTAGAGCTCAGACCAAAGATCTAATACTTAAGACTGTACATGTCTGATGTTGCATTTCTCTAATTTCCAATTCAAATATTCTCAATTTAGAAGTGAGAATCTCTTTTACTTACATTCCTTTCCCTCATTTACACATGCAACAGCTAAACTGCAGTTCTTCAGGCGTGTGGATTATCATCCAGAAAATAATAAAAAAAAAGCTGCGAGCCAAACTCCCCCTTCATTCACACCTGTGTCTGAGAAATGAACTCTTTTTATACAACAGTTATTGCCCTCAGAGTAGCAGGTATAAATGAATAAAGAGCCTTGACCATACAAAGGATCTCATTATTATTTTAGACAAAAGCAGCATAAAATTTACAATTTGTTCTTGCATAGTGTTACAGGTACTGTGCAAATCTACTCCAAAGTGGCAGCACTGCTATTTCCATTCATGACCACTCAATTGATTCACAACTTTATTTTTTTTATCTGCCACAGATGGTACTTCTAATTAAAAGGGTTGAGCACAACGTTGTTTGAAATAACTAAGATCAGGGTGCATACATTTCACTTTACAACAGCCATAGTGACAGAACATTAATTTTAATATCACTGACATGCATTTGAATAGGAGACTTTGAATGTAATCTAATCGATGTATCTTGTTATAACAGCAAAAAACCTTACCCTTATCAAGAACAACATTTATTTTTGTAGCGGAACTTAAATCCACGCTCTGGATCCTGGCCTTGTCAGCAGTCAGGAAATGAGAGAGGAAAATGATACGATACATACAAAGGTGTATGACAGGAAGACTAGCCAGAACTCCCCAGTGGCTTATCACTTAGGTGATAAGCACAAGTGTGCTGGTGCTTTAGAGAACACAGTTTTCTTTTGAAGCCGTGGTATCTAGCTCCCAAGTGAGGAATCACTTTGCTCTATGGATCAGGGAGCACAAGGAAGACACAAAACTAGCAAAAAGGAGACATAGCCCACAAATATTAGCACACGGTAAGAAATTGTGATGACTTCAGTGGGACCACAAACAGCATATGCAGGTAATACTGTACAGTATTTTTTTTTCTGGATGAGCATGAATCATTCTTCTAATATAAAACATATCTCACAATAACAGTACTTCCTCAATGCAGGACACTGCTGCCTTTATATAAAAGCACAAGGAGTGTGTGCTTCTCAGGGAGATGCAACCTGGTCTAGCAGGAGGTGTCCCTGCCCATAGCAGTGGGGTTGGAACTAGATGATCTTTAAGGTCCCTTCCAACCCAAGCCATTCTGGGATTCTGTGATAATAATGTCCTAGATGGAAAAGCTCTTTCTCCAGCATCTTCTGCCAACCTGTGGCAATATGTAGGCTAGCTCCCCTCACAAAACACAAAAAGGGCAGCGGCTACTTTTCAGTGACAGCCTTATGATTAGGCCCCTTTGCCCAGCAATGGAAGAGGGCAAAATTCACGAGGCCAAGGAAGAAAGCAAACACGAGAGTGAAAGCACCTCTGCAGCTCCTTGCAATGACTCTCCTAGAAGGGGCGAGGGTCTGGATTCTGGTCCATGCATAAGAAATTGTTCTTGTATTTTGAGATGAAAAAAATGACAGAACCAACCAAAGTGCTCAAGCTACTCTGTATTTACTTATCCCCTAATCCATGGGCAGAGTAAACCCTCCCTTTGATTTTTTCCTTTTCACCACCCCTGTGAATCTTGGTTCCTTCCACATGACCGACAGATGTTTCTCTCCCGGTGGTTTTCTCCTGGGAGGGCAAATCAGGTTTGAACATCTCAAACAGGAGAAGGAACTGAACCATTATGTCCCACTCTGTAGAGATGCTCAGAGCTTGCTCTCTGCTATTTTACATAGGCTCTGAGATTACTGAAGCTAAAAATTTCATGAATCTAGTTCTAAGTGACTTTCCAAGCTTATCAAGAGTGTACAATGGGCAAAACAACCAAGAACACAGACTAGGTATACTAGGCATGATCATGCTAACTGAAGGCACTGCCTCCTGATCAGAGCTAGCAGGGTTCGTCAGCACAATAGCAGGCAGAGGAGTTTGTATCTGTCTGCACCCCTCCACACAGATGTGCCCTTGGCCACTAAAAACAATGCCGGGGATGAAACAAGGAGATTGTGACTCCTCTGCAAAGTCACTGGTCTTCCAACAACACTACAGCAGTGTTAAGAACACAGAAGACCTCTTCCAACAACAAAACAGGACCAGTTTTGACCTATTTATAAGGAATCCTGGGAAAAATAATGGTGCACTGCTTTGTACTTACCATAAACGTTGTTTCTGAGGTCCTCAGTAAAAGCTTTAAGTAGACTATCTGGGAAAAGTGTTGCACCCGCATGGTCAAGGTAAGTTATCCCTAAAATAAAAATAAAATGATTAGATTCAATTTTTTTGCAATATTTAATTCCAATTTCTTATAGTATACCACACAAATGTCCACAGTGAAGCATACCATACAAAAAGTTGATTGCCCTAGAGTTCCTAGGGTATGACATTTCCCTGTCTGGCTTAGAGGCCTGCATGGATATTGAAAAAAATAATTTCAAAAACATTCTAATAATCAAGCAATATTCACAGTGAGGCATCTTCCACTCACCAGCAGAGAAAACAACAAAAAAAAAGGACACCAAAGAAGCCCAACAACTTGATTGCATCTTTTTAATTTTTAACTAAAAGCAAAATATTTTAAGAGGTCCTTTTTTCCATGATTAGACATTACATACTTTGAAGAGAAACATGTTTTTGTTCTGTCTGTACAAGACTGTACAAACTAATGTTTGAACCACAGCACCCTGTCACTCCTAGGCACTACATATTATCAAAACTATTACTACATTAATACTAATTACTATTATTAATAGCAACAACAATAGCGTTGCCTCCTCATTGACATGAAACAATTATCTCAAGAACTGACAAGGCAAAAATCATGCTTGAAGCCCAAACACGAGACTAGTTTAAGTTTAAATGCATTTAAATATTCTCGCTACTTTGCTTCACTTAACATTCAATTCATTTTTAAAGTCTCCTTTTATATTATTAAGCTATTGCAAAACTTTTAAATAAAAGCTTATTGGAAATTAAGGCTTTTTCATGTTTGGCCATTTTAGATTTCTTAATCTTTAGCAATTATTCTTCAATTTCTCCTGTGTGTCGCATGCTCTTTATTAGTTTTTTTCATTTCACTTACCTGAAGTATTTCAACCTATTTCAAATTTTAATAATGATGAATATGATTAAGATTAGAATTTAATAAGTATTTTAAAGGCCTTCCCTCTCCACAGGGATTTAAAACTGAGTTAAGCTTAAACAAGAAGCCTTGACACTTGGAAATATATATAATTATATATTATGTTGCTGTAGCAGTGATTCAGTGGGTAAGGATGTGAGACTGCTAATGATAATACCAATCTGGACACCCATCCCTTTTCCTATTTTCTGAAAGCGAAAAGTTCTTCCCTGCCTTATGATTCCCCCATTTATATTGTCCGGTATAAAGCAGATTTTTTAATGTGCTGAAGTTAATCGAGGAAAAAGTGTTTTGAGGTGCTGTGAGGGAAGGAGGGTGGAAAAAAACCTGGACTGATTTATTAGATATACAGACTTTCTGACTTTTTACTTTTTTTTTTTTTTTTTTTTTTAAATCCTAGAAAGTTTCTCTCAAGCAGTATGAAGAAGTACATACAACCATCCAGGTCAAAATGAAGATTTAGAAGTCCTGTGGTGAAACCTGGCTGTTCCACAGTCAGTCTACATGTCAAATGCCAGCAGGCAAACTTCACTTCAAGGAAGTGCCTATACAATCATGCCAAGCCATCCTTACTATAGCAGAAATACCCTTATGTCTACACTGAACTGTTTTTATGAATATGCTATGTACACTATAGAAAAGAAACAGTGATACAGAAAATTTGCAGAGAAGATAATTTCATACCATTTCTAATAAAAAAGACATTCACTGTAAAAATTCCTCTGATAATTTCTGGCATGAAAATATCCTTTCTGCCCACTTAAAAATGATTCACAGTTTCATTCAGGAGCCATGGCAATCACTTGGCATTCCCCAGCCCCAGAGATGGAGGTGCTTCAGACTGAGAGAAGCACGTGGTGCCACTTCAGGGGATGGGCCAGGGATGCCAAGAGGGCATCTGGTGGCCCAGGACCAGCATCGCCTTTGCTGTGACAGGGGATCAGCTTTACCTTCACCAGGCCATGCAATTGCCATGATGGGGCCACCTGTGAGGCTCATTATTCACCTGACACCAGAACATGCTTGGGAGCAAACTTTTCTGTCTCTGACGTGGAGTTGAAGCGATTGCAAGTACATGCAATTTGGTTTATTAATTTTTATGGGCCACACAAGCTCATCCACACAAAGCTTATCTGGACATAGATGCCTCCGTACAGTTTTTGGATCCTTTCAGTCAGAAGGAGCTTGACAGTATCAAAGAGGTAACTTAGCTATATGGCATGCAAAAAAAAAGTACCCCGCTAAGGCTGATCACATCAAACCCACCCCTTTGGAAGGAGCAACAGCGCTTTCCAGGCAGACCAGTGGGAGACAATGTGAGCAAAAAGTCCCCCTACATGATTTTTCAAATTTGATTTTCATGTAGCTAATTAAGAAGGACAATACCCTGATTTTATTAAATGTAAATAATTTTGAAATTGCTCACTTGTTTTTAAAATCCCACCCCTGGGTACATCATTCTGAAATCATGGGAGGATATTTGATTGAGGAAGGAAAAACTACTAATTCTTAAACTTTTATTTTATCTTTGATGATGTTGTTTAATTGAAAACAGAGAACAGCATTTAATACTCTTTCTAAACTGCCTGAAAATAAAAAAGGAAAAGGTGCTCCCATAATTTGAGACTGCACTGAAACAATATCTTTATTGCTATTGCATTTTTATGCTGTAGTTTTTTCCTTCTTGTCTTATTTCAATAAAACCGTGGTTTTAGAGGAAAGAAAACAAGAGTTGTGGCACATGCATAACACCTGCAAACAAAATAACATTAATAATTTTCATTGTGTTTTTTCCCCTAGTTTAATAACATTTGCTATTTTAACTTTATTGAGCGCACATTAACGCAAGAGATTTGTCAGTACATACAGAGTAATCTAGCTCCCTCTGTTTCACTGTGGTATTTGGTATATAGCCTGTCAGCACCATGAAATTACGCTGTTTATGGCAAGTAACAAGAGAAAGAAAACATAATGTGATCAACCAAAAGAAAATTAAAATATAATACCTATTAGGACCTGTTTTCTTTACTTGGGGAAAATGTAAAATTAACTTTGAGTTTAATTTACATATTATTATGTTTGGAATGTGCAAATGACTTCATTGATCGAATAACGCACCAACTATTTAATAAAACCACATTTCAGAAGGAGTTTTTTTATAGGACTATTGAAAACCACTTAATGTACCAGCATTAGTTATGTAAAGTTATTCAGCAAGAATATCCATTCATAAGCTATAATATTCACATGCTAATATTGTAAATTATTTCTAGGTATTTCTCAAATGTGGACCAGTCCTTCCTGCTCAAGAAAAAACAGTACAACAACAACAAAACAACAAAACCAGAAAATAAACAGATCCTTTTTTTCCTTTTGTTTTAGAATTCATGTCTTGATAAAAACATCCACCAGCTCTGCGTACCAGACTTAACTCTTTGCAAAACTTCAGGCATGAACATGCTCATGTTGCCTCAGAAATGCTGGGGGTCCATTCAGTTTAACTGAATACTCCTATGTATGTAAAAAATATTAATGTTTTGTAACATTTTAAAATTAAGAGTTTAACATCAAATGAGAACACTGGACAAAACATATGGTCCAGTCCAACCACCAGCAAAGAAACTAAAGCGAAAGGAAAGCACGATGATTGATCTTTCAGAGCCAAAATACTTGCCACCAAAAACGTGGCTCCACCTGGCTTTGAAGAACCTAAAAGGTGTCATTTGAGAGCAGAATTAGTCAGTTACCTCTTTATTAAATCTTCTAGGAGTTATGCAGTGGAGCATAAGACTACAGCCCTGCAGGTGCTGCAGAGGGGAAGGCAAGTAGTGGCCTGCAGGGAGATCAGGCCTTCTCCTCTCTGCCCCACCACCAGACCAGGCCTGGTCGTCCAGCTGACAGCTGGCTAAATGATGACTCTTTTGGTGTTCTGAACATTAATTATGCTCTTTTATCTCCTGACGTTCTTCTTGATGCTACACATTTCTGAGCCGTGACAGCACATCACTTGCAAAAATAACCAGTCGACCAACTTGCCCTGTTTCCACCTCCTCAACTTTTCGCAATGCTGTCATAGAATCAGAGAATCACTGAGGTTGGAAAAGACCTCCAAGATCATCTGGTCCAACCATCACCCTACTACCAATGTCATCCACTAAACCCTGTCCCTAAGCATCACGTCCAACCTCTCCTTGAACACCACCAGGGACGGTGACTCCACCACCTCCCTGGGCAACCCTGTTCCAATGCCTGACGGCTCTTTCTGAGAAGACGTCTCCACATTTCTAACCTGAACCTCCTCGGGCACAACTTAAGGCCATTCCCTCTAGTCCTATCACTAGTTATCTGTGAGAAGAGGCTGATCCCCATCTCCCCACACCTTCCTTTCAGGTAGCTGTAGAGAGCAATAAGGTCTCCCCTGAGCCTCCTCTTCTCCAGACTAAACAACCCCAGCTCCCTCAGCTGCTCCTCACAGGACTTGCGTCCCAGGCCCTTCAGCAGCTTTGTAGCCCTTCTCTGGAAATGCTCCAGGCCCTCGCTGTCCTTGTAGTGAGGGGCCCAAAACAGAACACAGCACTACTGCAGTCCCCACAACCAACATGGCCATGCAGTGGCTTCCCAGGTACTTCCCAGGACCTTGTCAGTGCAAGTTCCCCATGCCCCAGCCCATTACAGCCTTCCAGTCATGCTGCCAGAAGTTTCCTAACGAAGAATGAAACGTGTATTTACAAGGCAGGAACTGTGCAGAATCATGAAGTTCGATTGGCGGATATAATTACAATTCAGTGGGATTATATACACAAAATTACTTGGAAATAGATACAGCCAGTGCCCTGGGGAGACAGTATATACCTTAAGTACAGCGACGTTAACAACAAACAGTATGAAATCGATTATATGAAAACAAGCTGAAGGCAAAATAAAGCTTTATCTGTCAAAAGATGAATATGAGAGACTTTCATACACCAACGCACAAAAAAAAAATAAATAAAATAAAATGAGAAAACTGGAATAACCAAGGACTAAGAAGTGACAAAATAGCGAGGAGAGAGCTCTACAGGGGTTGTAGGCAGGTGGGCCATCCTCTGGATCCAGTAAGGTGCTAG